TTCTTTGAATCTAGACACACTTAGAAAGATCAAATCAAGGACACCTAATTAAATCGACAAAAAATGTTGCAATCTTTGTTTTTTCTTTACAAATTGGTCCATTTGACTCTCAAACAATGCATGTGTTTTCATTTATTGGTCATCGTTTCTTTTGTAGTTGAGATTATTATTGTTTCACACTATCCCAAAATCAATTGAATAGGTAAAAGGCCATCGCGTAAGTTAAAGAGAACGTGGCCACTGGATTAAATGAGCTAGTTGGACGTGATGTCATAAATGTTTTGAGTGAGCTGGCGTTATAAAATCTTGAATTCCATATTAAGATATCGATCTTGCAAAGAGAAATTTTAACTGTTTTAAGAGGTGTAAGATTTTATATTTTACTTTTAACATGTTTTCACAAAATAGAGGCACGCTTTTAATTGTTAATTTGAGCTTTAAGCAAATTTAATTATTAGTTTTAACAAGTTGAGTTCATATACCATATTAAATCTTCAAAGTCATCTTGAACTTAAACCTTGTGTTGTCATAATATGTTAAAACAACTCTCATCATCAACTTTTCATGAAAATCATAAATATATCAAGATGCATGTTATATGTCATAAAGATGTTCAAATGTAACTTGTATTTTTAGACTAACAAGTTCATTGGAAACATTAATGCCCATACAAGAAGGAAAGAAATATGTAAAACAATCCAATGTTTCACATCCAAATTCCATCAAGGTGGGACACTTGATTGTACCTTAAGAACATTTAGGAAGTTGTATTCATGTAATTGGAGGTTGGTTAGCGAGAGTTGTATTTGAACTCGATTGATATAGTTTCATTGTAACTAAATTGTAAAATGTTATTTGAATCGATAGACTAGTGTTAATATTCGGTTTTAACTGTTGATATGCATATTTTTATCCATGATATATTAGCCGAAAATAGAAGGATATGCTATTAGTAATTATCACAATCATGACAATAAAATATCTTATTACTTTCTTGGATGATCGCTTTATAAATCGATCAAATCTATTAGTTCAATCTTTCACACTTCACAATAACATTGTCCAAAAGATTCTTGCTAGCGGAAAGACATTTGTGAATGCTTAAAACTTATGAATATGTATTAGAGTATGTATCCTACAAAAACAATTAAATTTTATGTTGTCAATAAATACATACATACTAATCAGGGGTGAAGCTCCGTATGGTTTAGTGTGGGCAACCCATATGGTAAAGTGCAGGCACTTACCTCCACATTTTTTTTAAAAAATTTTTTCGAGAGCCCCATATTTGGAATGCAATGATGGGATGGACACTATTTGTCAACTTTTTGGGTTTTTCAGGTAACTAAAAAAAAAAAAAAAAGAACTAGTGGGATTTTTGGATGATTTAATTTCTACGATGGTTTCGCAAATCTAAAGGGTATTTTTTAAAGTCTAGGATTCGATGCTTTTGGTATTGAGTGATTAATTGTGGAATAAAGAAACCTCTTTATTTTATTATTATTATTATTTTTATTTTTTGGGAAATCAATTATGGATCATGTGATTGGCACAAAGTTTTAAGTTTAGGAATAAAATTGACAGTGAATCTTCTGGAGAGCTTTATTTGAATAATTTGATTCATTTTTTATTTTTGTGGATGTAAACTTCTTTCGTATTCATAGGCAGCTTCCTCTTCTTTATCACTATTGAAAAATAGATTATTTCATCATTCCCAGTCACTCATCCGTGCATGAATAAGTGGAAAGTCACTTGCTATTATTGTTGAATTAGTATGCTAAAGATAAGTGTTATAGACACTTGCAATATAATTGATTGAAGTTTTATCTTTTCAATTTCGATAAGATACATCTATAAATTGGCCGAGTTTTTATGTAACAATGAGATATTGAAGTTTTTTGTAAGACAAAAAAGCAATATATCCTATCATAGAAATTCAATTTTTTGAATGAGATACATTCTTAAATATTGATAATTGAATTATTGTACAATGATACAAAGTATGAAAACTCACAGTTAATAAGTTTAACTTATGAACTATGCCATTTTTAGTATTTTTATAATATTGCTTTTTTATTTTTTTTCATAATTAAATCCATGACAAAAAATTCAAAATTTGACGTCGATTAAATTGTGCACGCATTGAAAGAATTTCTTGGCTTCGCCTCTCATACTAATTGCATGTTGGTGTGAACTATGCATGCATGCGCGTACTCATATTTAACTCATTATATCTTGTAAGAAAGGAAAATAATTTTATAATTAAAAAAGATAAAAAGTTTTTGGTCATGCACAATATAATAATATAAAAATAAAGACTTAGTTAGACCAATTACACTGCAACACGAGTATCTTCTCTTGCTGCTACGAAAGTTATCATGGAAAACTACAATTTAAACGATAGATAAGGTAATCATCTAAAGTAAACGCATGCCTGTAAACACTCTCCCTTTCAAAAGCACGGTCTGTCCTCTTTTATTTTGGCATCTCCCTTCAATCACTTGATGTTGATTGTCAATAAATTATTAATAATTTTGTTAGAGAAGAAAAAAATATAGAATTAACTAGTAATTAGTCTCAAACGAAACATTTAAATCAAACAAATGAACTTCAACTAACTCACTCAAACTAATTCGAGAGTGCCAGAGAACGGGGGCGAAGGGAAGGGGCAGCACTTGAGCTAATAGAGGGGCAGCCCGAAACATTAGCCGAGGTGCCGTCCCTAGCCTATTTAATTTTCTATAGTTAAAAAATAAAAAAATGAAGAAGAAGAAGATATTTTTTTATGAATTTTTTTCTATTTATCAACTTAGTATAAAACAAATTTTATTTGTTTCCCCCGAACTTTATCCCTACCCCAGAAAAAGGATCGATATTCTATATGCTAGTTCTTACCGAGCTTGAGGTCATATAAGCTGTTTTATCATATATGTACATGTTTTTACCAATAACATTGTCGCAAATATATACATATTTATATGTAATAGGGAGATATCCTTCAATTAATAAGGAAATAACCCTTAATTATAATTCACAAAAAAGCTACTCTTGTTTTTGTCTGGATGCGAAAAAGATAGGAAGGCATGCAGGGTTGGGGCTTTACCTTGCCAACCCAACACGCCTTTACAACTTTAGACTAGTTTGCCTTTGACTCATGTCAAATCAACCTTTTTGCAATAAAGACAAATAGTTCTCTCAACGACTCTGATTTTCTTAATCTCTTCTATTTAAAAATAAGCATGTTTGGCGAAAATAATTAGAAGTTAATTAATTTTATATACGTAATAATTATTTTATATTAAGTAAATATTAACTTATCCAACAGATTTCGTAAACAAAGGGAAGGTTTACTTCTTTTTCATGCATGTTTCTATTGTTCTAATTTTAGTTTATATCAAACATTAATAGGATGCTTTAAGTACTTAGTTTGGTTATATAATTTCATACATTTCAAGGACAAGGACATACTAGTAATTCATATTTTTGGCAAAAATAAACGCAATATCCAGATGTTAATATTAATTATGCAAGAATGTAATTTTTTTTATTAAAAATAAAATTTAAGTGTATGGAGTATTGAAAATCTTTTTATTGAAATACCTGAAATATAGAGTTAAATATTATTAAGTAAAATTTTAAAGATGTGCATATCCGCCCCATTAGGCCCAGTGCGGGCAGATGCCCGCACTGAACTTTTGGGCTCCAATAGGCCCAATTTTTTTTTTCTTTTTTTGGGGTAAAGCCTGTTTAATTAAAAAGGCCCAATTTCTCGATCCGACTTCTTGAATCAGTCCATGGGCCGTTTAGTGACCCGACCCAAACCGACCCGACTTCTTGAATCAATTATAACCCGTTCAATTCATGTTTCCAATTTCCAAACCCTTGCAAACTTGAAATCTTGAATCACGTCTCTCCTTTCTGCTCTCAACCGGTGCCGTCGCCGCTTCTCGCCAGTCGGCAGTTGGTAGTCGCCAGTCGCTACTTCAACTCGCAGGCGATGCCGACTCAACTTCCACTCTTCCAGTCCACCGCCAGGTCCGCCACTGCTGCGAGCATCTGCCACTGCTTCTGTGGTTCTGCCGAGTTCCGACCGAAGCTGGAAGTTGCCCAACGAAGAACTAAGAAGGTGATTGAAAGTTACCTTGCTTACCTAATGTATATTTTAGTGAAGATGGAGTGTGGAAAATTCTGAAAATTGAAATTGTGAAAATTCTGAAAATTGAAATTCTGAATCACGTCTCTCCTCTCGCCTCTCGGGTTCTGCAGTCTACACTACTTAATTTAATAAATTTATGAATGTTAGTGTTAGTGTGTAATGTGTTACTGGTTAATTATTGAATATTGATGGTTCTCATTTCTCAACTCTCAATCTCATGGGTTTATATAAATTATATTTGATATTTCTATTGTGGAATTGGAATTTGGAAATGCTGTTAGCCTGGCTGTTACTCTGTTGTAGAGAAATTGATTAAGTTCTTCTTTCTCAGCCCATCAAGGAGATTGCCCTGGCCGTTTCTCTCCTGGTTTTTGGCGCGCTCGGAATCTTTCTTTCAGTTTCTTGGAATATTGGTGCCATTATGGCCGTCAATGATGTCCGCAGTGACCACTGACCGCACCCACAGTAAATTTTCTGTTGGAGTTTGAGTTTGAGTTTAACTGTTTTTATTGGTGTATTTATTGTGGGATTTCAACTTTCTTTCTAGTTCACTAAGTTAATGTTCTTTAATGATTAACTTAAGGGGGTTTTGAATAATATTCAGTAAATTAATAATCTTTAGTTATTAATTAAGCATTAGATATTTGGGGAACCCATTGCAATTTATATTTCAATTAGTTTTTCTTTAATAAATACTGCTGAAGTTATATTGATGCTACTATTGTTGATTATTATAGATACGTTTCCCATACAGACATGAGCATTTTTCTGATTATTATAGATATGTTTTCCTTTTGTCATTACGAATTATTCTCACTCACTTCAATTAATAATTGGATATCAAATGTTTAAATCCAGATATCAAATTAATAGATACTTTCAACGAAAAAGGAACGTAGATAGTGTTGATGAGGGGGCATCGAATAATGTGGATGTTGATGAGGGGGCATCGAATAATGTGGAGTTTGATGTCACAAAACTTCCAACTGATCCTGATCTAAGGATACCAATTTTGGATTACAATGCTAACATCCGAGATGAAGTTCGAAGAGCATATATGTTAAAGGGTCCTTGTCAACCCCAAGATTACGACTTTCCAAAATGACAATTTGGAGTAACAATTAGACGATTCAATCCTTCGTGGTTTAAAGAGTTCGGTAGTTGGTTGGAGTACAGTGTAGAGAAGGATGCTGCTTATTGTTTGTATTGTTATCTTTTCAGAACAAGTTCTGGAAAGCAAGGTGGAGGTGAGTCTTTTGTTGGCGAAGGTTTTACATATTGGAAAGATAAAAAAAGGCTTCATACTCATGTTGGACTTCATGATAGTGCACATAATCAAGCTCGCATTAAGTGTGAAGTGTTGATGAATCAAGAGCAACACATTCAATCAGTTTTCTACAAACAGTCAGAACAAGCAAGAAATGCATATGTTACACGCCTTAATGCATCCATTGATTGTGTTCGAGTTCTTTTGCGACAAGGGCACTCATTTCGAGGTCATGATGAATCTGAGGATTCTTCCAATCCAGGTAACTTCTTAGTGCAATTGTAATTTTTGGCTGCTCATAATGAAGCTATCAATGCCGTCACATTGGGAAATGCTCCTCACAATTGCAAATTGACATCACCTGTTGTTCAAAAGGATATAGTAAATGCTTGTGCTATTGAAACAATCAATGTTATTATCAAAGATGTTGGCGACTCACTATTTTCTATTCTAGTTGATGAATCTTGTGATGTGTCAATGAAGGAGCAAATGTCTATTGTTTTACGTTATGTAGACAATAGTGGCCATGTCAATGAACGCTTCATAGGGATTGAACATGTTACAAGTACCACGGCTCTATCACTTAAGGCTGCAATTGATAAGGTATTTTCTAGATATAACTTGAGTATGTCTAGATTGAGAGGACAAGGTTATGATGGAGCAAGTAATATGCAAGGTAAGTTTAATGGTCTGAAAACACTTATTTTGAAGGAGAGTCCATGTGCCTTTTACATTCAATGTTTTGCTCATCAACTCCAACTTGCGCTTGTAGCTGTGGCAAAGAAGAACATCCCTATTACTAATTTCTTTCGTGTGGTTGGGAACGTGATAAATACTGTTGGAGCATCTTCCAAGCGTTGTGATCTTCTTCGAGAAAAACAATTAGACTTTATTGTTGAGGCATTAGAAAAAGGTGAGATTTTAAGTGGACGGGGACTAAATCAAGAAACGACCCTTCAGCGCTCTGGTGATACACGATGGAGTTCACATTATAATTCTTTGGTCAGCTTGCTTGCCATGTTCTCTTCTGTTTTAAATGTACTTGCAATAATTGTTGAAGATGAATCTTGTTCTTGTGATCAAAGATCTGATGCAACAGATTTATTGGAGTTGATACAAAGATTTGATTTTGCATTTAATCTACAGTTGATGAAAAGTGTGTTGACGATGTCAAATGAACTGTCAAAGGCATTGCAAAGAAAAGATCAAGATATTGTGAATGCAATACAATTGGTGAGATTGTGCAAACGAAGACTCCAAATAATGAGAGACGAAAGGTGGGACTCCTTTTTTGAAGAAGTAAGTTCTTTTTGTCAACAATATTACATTCATGTACCCAACATGGATGATATGTTTGTACGCCTTGCAATTCGTGGTCGCCCTCAGCGTAATTCTCCAGAAATTACAAATTTACATCATTATCGAGTAGATTTGTTCTACTCTGTCATCGATTTAGAACTTCAAGAATTGAATGATCGTTTCTCGGAGGTAAACACAGAGTTACTCCTTTGTGTAGCTTGTTTATGCCCACAAGATTCATTTTCGTCTTTTGACAAGAAAAGCTTAATTAGACTTGCTGAGCTTTATCCATTAGATTTATACACCATAAAATTTAAATTAAAAAACATATAGTTTTTATTTTCTCCTCAAAAACAACACACACACACACACACACACACACATATTTCCTTTTGTATGATTACAAATTTTATTAAATTTTGAACTATACATTTCATCAATTAGATTGCGCAATCGGATGGGTGATCAGTGGATGAATGATAGCACTATTGTTTATGTAGAGAGAGATATATTTTTGAAACTCGATAATGAAGTTATTGTACGACGATATCAAAATATGAAAACTCGCATGGAACAAGTTTAATATATAAATTATGTCGTTTTTAGTGTTGTTGTAATATTGTTTTAATTTTTTATCATCATTAAATCTATGACCAAAACCTCGAAGTTCGGCGTCGAAAAATGATGCCCGCACTGAACATAAATCCTGGCTCCGCCCCTGGTGCATACTATGGAATTAAATAAAGTGATCAAGCGACAAACGGTTCAAATGCATAAATAGCCTATTTCAATACAAAAATATCTGGTAAAATAAATTATTTTTGCAAAAGCACCAAATATAGATTTTAAGTGAAATTTAAGAGAAAAGAAATGCTTATTGCATTGCATGCACAATAAATACGTATTCATGGACGGACATGGGGGGTCAAATGAACCCACAATATATTTTTTTTCTTTTTCTCTTAAGTTAATACACAATAGTTGCATAATTTATGGTTACTGAAGTACATGTCTGAAAAAATTTCATGAATAAGTCTATCCAAGTTGCAAGGATATCAAACTCACCATTTTTTATCTTGATCTTTGCTTTTGTTCACTTTCTGGTATCCATTTGCCTAATTTCAACTCACTCGATTTTGGTTATTTCCTTTTTCTGCAGCTATGATGTCCCTAATATAAAAATTTGATTTCATGTTTCTGTGCACACACGTGTATGTAAATATACATATATATAAAGGTATATGTTGTCTTGATGTTAACCCTTTGATCTCATATTTCTATACACGTCCAATGATAAACATGTTCATTGTTATTAATGTAATTGGAAGCAACATGGAGATCTCCCCTTTTTTTCGGAAACTTCTTGTTCTAGTTTATTCGCCGACTTATATTTTTGTGTATTTATTCATTTTTAGTGTTTCGAAAACTCAAGTGTGCTTTGACATAATAGAAACTTAGGACATCAGACAAGGCTAGAAGAAGACGCTCGAGCGCCAATGATTGAAGCCTACCACTCTTGGAGTGCCATTCAAGCGTACTTAATTTTTGACCTCACAATAGAAAATGTTGGCTCCGTCCGTGAACGTATGCAGCACTTGCTAAAAATAATCAATAAAATCATCGGCAATAAAATAAAATGAGATGGTAGATGACAGTTTATTTTCAAATTCAAAGTTATATCAGTGTATTTCAGCTTCTTTCCGCAATACAGCTATATATACTAGTTTACAGCATAAATGAGTTCACGATTTCTATTTAAGTGCAATTTCGAAAGTGATTATTATAAATTTTACAAATACTTAAATATGGAACAGAAAAATCCAGATTTTCATAAATATATATGAAATAAAAATTATACTAGTAATTACTGGATTACAAGTTCATATGTATACTACACACACTAGGAATATTGAATCATTTCTTTCTCCACAAAATTAGAGGTGACCTGCGAATTTATTCTTTCTCAACTTTTCTAAGAGCAAATATAACTACATAAGGATGTGAAAAATCAATCAAAGACAAACAAATCAATGAGATCAATTTTGGCAAAATAAAAATAAAAATAAAAAATAAAATCTTTGTTTTAATACAAGAGTAAATATTTGTTTTAACGTTTTGGTTAGTAATTTTCAATGATATATAAATAACGAACTATGCAAAGTTTTAATTCTGTTAATCGCCAGAGTGCATATTATGTTGAGGTCATCAACACAATGACTCGTTGTCTTGTGTATTCTTTGAGTCACGGTCTATATATCAATTAATTAATAATAAAGAGTAAAGTATGAATTATTAGAAAAAAATAAGCACATCCCCTCAATAAATAAAAGTATGCATAGAATTACAATCCTTGTCTTATGTTTATCAACATCATTAAATCAAATTCTTATTGACTTAAAATTTAATATTTTTATTAGAAAGGAAATACTTGATTAAACTACAATAAAATGAAATTAGCACCTTAATTATTGTGCCAGTTGATGTCAAGTCACACCATCATTGTCTTTGCTTATCATCTTTTCAATATTTTTATGTCTTTTTATATAATTAGGCTCCGTTTGATACCCATTTTTTTCAAAATATATTTTTCTCTCTCTTCTTTTCAATCACACATTCTTTGTTAAAATAATATTACACGTAAATAAAAAAACTTTTCCTTATTTTTCAACCACACATTTTCCATCAATTTACTATTCAAAAATATATTTTTACATAAAAATATCTCCCAAACACCCTCTTAAACTGCTCTCTTACACTTCATTACATAAAAATATCACTGAGTTTTGTCTCAACACCTTTTCAAAGTATCATTGAATTTGAGGCATACATTATTATTATTATTATTATTATTATTTTTTATTTTTTATTTTTTTTTATTTTTTGGGATTGTCTTATACATTTATTGTTATTGTAAACATGGGATGCCCCTCTTGTACTCTTGATTCATATGATGTCATAATAAATTTTACATTTTTGCATTTCTTTTGTATAATTTTCTGATTGGATTACTAAAATGTTTTGTTTCTTCGTTCTGATTTCCCAATAAAGAAAAGGTCCAAGGAATGTGATGCTTGAACGATAATTGTGCACATGACCCTTTAAGTTAAGAGCATTTGATCTATAATCTTGAAGTTACAGGTGTGTAGGAATAGAAATCCCACCGAAAAATTGAGTTTTCTGATTTAAAAAGAAAAGAATGTTACATATAGGCACATCTAACTATTTATATAAGAATTGTGCACTATGACAACGTGCGAAGTGGGTGACGAAGGATTTCATCATTAAGATTTTGTATCATCATAAAAAATTAGAGAAGTTAAAGAAAATATGGTGTGCGATTTTTTAAACTTCTTTTGATCTTGTAAACTTAAATATGTTACATGTACAAAGTATCATGTATATATAAGGTTTATTATGGCATTAAAGGAAATCTTATCCTTATTTTTCTTGTTCAACCTTTTCCTTTTTGCAAGGGTATTTTCAAGAATTATGGAGATGGAATATATAGGTTGGCTCTACTTGAGAACTTATCTGTCTTGCCAATTTCTATTTGAGACAAGTTGTCTGCAGCTGCCTATAAGTCTTCACATCAGCAAGATCTAGATAATAATAAATATGTGAAGCTATCCAAATTGGCCCTCCATCCCTCCTGGAATTTCTTTGTAGTGTGCTATCTATGGATATATATGAGTGTGGACCAATCCTAATTTCACCATCTTTGTTTTTGCAGCCAGATTTGATATCTAATGCCTAATTCAAGATGTAACACTACGTAGTTTGACTATATTAATGAAGAAAAAAAGAGTGACAATCTTTGTGAACGAGCTGGAAGGATTTTAACTTGGTATCGGGCCATCATGCATCAAATTGTGCTCAAATATTTCTCCATCACGTGTAACATTAGTAACAAACTGTATTACCTCGTCTCACTGTTGTCACCGCCACCATCATTATAAACACTTCTAGACAAAGTAGTGCAATGCTTATAACACAAAAAATTATGATATTAGCATCCAAAATACATGCTCAATATAGATATTTTTCTTTATTATTGATTTGCAAATCAATCGGTAATTATTCCCTCAACAAGTATCAATTATAAGGTTAAAGAAACTATTAAGCGTCTAGGTTATAGCAAAATTTTACTTTGAACACTCATTTTGTATCATTCCAAACTAGTAAGAAGTAACTAAACCGACTTTTGTGCACATAATCCAAATGCCTTCAATTAGGCAAATCCGAGACGAGATGTAAAATGTAAAAATGTCGCAAGATGCGACTACTTCGAACTGCTAGGAGCAGTGTCCGAGCGTCTGTAATCTTTAATCATAAAAAGTTTTGAATCCATTAATAGAATCACCTTCTCCAGGTCTAATTCTGACTTTACACGAAAGGAGCCTGCTACTATCATAAATATAAGTGGAAATTAAACCAGATAACCTATTTTATTAAAATATTCAACTATTACTTCTACAATCTTTTTAATATAGGTAATACTACCATTGAGGTAGTAAAAATGATAAGTGCAAAATGCATTCACTCCTAGAGCATAGGCAACAAATTATCGGTTTTTAAGTGCAAATCATGGACCTAATTGCGGAAACTGATCTGAACCCGCAAATCATTATTATCGCTAAAGTGTTACGTTCTTATAACCCCAATTACACCACCATTCGACTCATTTTGCAGAATTCATGAAAATGAATTCCAAAAACTCTTCAATCCATCCGACAAAATGATGTGGTGCAAAAGAAATTGGATTTCATGGCAAAGTGGGAGTGACGCAAGAAAAAATAATTTGGAGTTGTCCGTTTTTTACAAATTTGTAGTCTGATTCGGTTGGAAACAGGTTGAAAAGTTAAACACAAAGGCTTTGACGTAGGACCAATTTTGGACAAATACCTTCGTTTAGGCCCTCGTTTACGCTTTTTTTCCTTTATTGATAATTTTTATTTTGAGTATATCTCAATCAAATAAATTCGGATTTATATTTCGTTTGTTGGAGAGTAATCCCGAAGATTAGGACTATTAATTTCCGTCATTATCTTGATTTTTTTTCCATTGTTGGAATTTATTTTTTTATTATTTAATTTTCGAATTTTCTGGGTTTTTGCTATAAATACGTTGTAAGCCTCTTGAGGCCGTCGATTAATTTGAACGAAATAAAACTTTTCGTGAGTTTTCTTTTTTGTGAGATTTGTTCATCTTCTCTATAACTTCCACTACGTCACAAAATCTTCTTCATATCTCAATACTTTATTTAATCTTGATTCAATTTTTTCATTCCATTTCTTAGAACATAAATTTATGATATTACGATTTCTACACAGTATAAAACCAGTCCCATAGTCCTTCATTCTTCCAGTGAAGTTATAAACTAATAGCATCCATCCCAAATCTTTGTGCGTCCATGGGTTCTTTAGTTAAACATCAGAAGAAGATAATCCTTTTATGTCCAACCCTAGTCGTTGCTTATCTATGGGATCTATAAAGAACAAGCAAAAGATTGAAGCTTTGGCTAGTACGGTAACTCCAGAAGCTAAAATACCTATGGTGTCAACCAACAAATAATAGACAGACGATAAAATGAAATCTCTGGAGATAATCAATCCCAAACAAGAAAACACGCCTACAACACGTATTGCTTGTCCGTTAAAAGTTCTGTCTGATTCCAAGGACAAGGTACAATGTTATCCTTAACAAATTAAGTTGCTAGTGCCCTACGTTGCTTTCTGATCGAGCTTGTGTTGATAATAATTTCACTCATCGGTCGATTCTTATAAAATATAATCTAAACTATTTATCGTTATCGTCCTAGATTTATTAGGTATCAATTGGAGATAAATTCATGGAGTTTGATTACTACAAATCTAGTTTAGCTATATAATTCATTGAGTTTGATTACTATAAATCTAGTTTAGCTATGTCGATTAACGGTAGCTATACATATTTATATTGTCATGTATCTAACTGTAGCTCTCTGACCTAGAAACCTCCGTGAAGACGAGAGATCAGACCTCGAGGCCACAGTCGGTGAGGCTAATGGTGGCAATCGTAGCTCTGAGTCTGGTGTCCATAAATTAGCACAAAGGTGCTTGGTGAGAATTACCTTATATGGGGAACTAAGACCAATTTCTCGATCTTGCCAATACGGTCCTTGTTCAA